ATGTTTTCTGAAAGGCACCCACTTCGAATAACAAACACTATTCTCCAGCCCTAGTACCGCAAAGGGTTTCTCTCGTACAACTGTATCTGTATCAACTTTTTCAAAGATCATACTAAGCCCTTCTTTCTGTTTCATGACTCACTGAGATACAGGCAAGTCCACAGAGGAGGAAAGGACATGAGAAAACTGTTATGATTTATATCTAGGTGTCCCCCCAAAGCCTCATGTGCTCCCAAGTGGGGGTCTGGGGAAGTGACTGGATCATGGGGACATGGTATTCATCAGTGGATTAATTCACTGATGAGTTTATAGCTAAATGTGAGGCTAGGGAGCGGAGCCTCAACAGAGTAAGCGGCTCACTGGGGGTGTGGCCTGGGAGTTTCTGTCTCTTTTCCTCCTTTGCTCTCTCTCTGCTTCCTGCCACCATGCCATGCGCTGGTTCTCTTCTGCCAACGCCCCCTGCCATGGCTACCCTGCTCTGAGCCACCAAACTATGAAATGAAACCTCTACAAACTGTGAGCCAACCTTAAATCTGTCGGTGTCAGGTACTGGATCTCAGCAGTGAGAAAGTAACAAGACAAGGACAAATCTTTGCCTTCTAGAACACATCAAGCAGCTTCTTTCTGTCCTTTGATGGCTAGCTATAATTTCAGAGATCATCTTTCTGGCTGTAAATATCACTCCTCTGGGAAGGCTCCTTTCCCCTTTCCGGGCCATGTGCAGGGGTTCTGGTCTCCTAGGTGCCTTGGTTGTGAGCATCACACAGACCTGGCCTTTTGTTTCTGTTGATTTGGTCTGGTCAGCGTGGCTTCTTCGTTGTGTTGCAGGCCCCTTAAGGACGGGTTCTGCGCTATATTCCTCAGCCTGTCACCTGGCACACAGTAGACTCAATAGATACAGATGGGTAAGGGAATAAAATCAATATCCTGAGGCAAATCTTGCTGTTCAAAACTCAACTAGCAAAATCTGGCCCAACAGAAATGCCTTTGACTGATAAGAGGCATTGTTTTTACAAATTCTCTGGGTTGCAGACAAATACCCCTCTGTTTCTCATAGTAGGCACAGCTGGACAGAACCAAAGGTCTTCCAACTCTGGCTTTCCACTTCCCATAAGGGAAGGCCATCTGTCACTCCTATAGGCTAAGTTGTGGCCACGTGTGGGTTTAGTCCCATGTGTCCCTGGCCACCAAGATGGAGGAGGCTATTAATAGGCAGTACAGCAAGCACAACTCCAAGAGCTGCCAGTCTGCACAGGGCGGCACAAGCGGGGGACAATAGGGATTATTCATACACAGAAGGGTGCAGAGCTAGCTTCTTTCCAAAAGCAAAGAGATGAATAGCCTAGGATTATTAATGAAAAGCAATCAAACCAACAAAAAACATTTTACATAAAGAACCTATCAAATGCTGCTAAATGAAGAACTCAGCACGAGGTGAGTTGCTTTAGATTCTTGCTATAAACAACCTAAACATGCAGTTCCCAAGTTTCATTGCTCCTGTCCTGGCCACCCTACGTTCATTCTCATTTTACAGCCAAAGGAACCCATGGCGAAATCCCCCTCCTCACTATTTTATTCAGCGACAAAACCACAGACCTTAGGATGCCTTGTAGTTCCTGCACGAACTGTCCATCATTACCTTTCTAGTCTCATCTCCCACAACCTTTTTGATAATCCTAGAACACGCTAGGAACAGCCTACCCATTTCCGCTGCCAGAAATGCTCTACTCCTGGATCTCCTCCAAGTATCTGCTTAAATTTCACCGCCTTAAGAACCCTGCTTGCCCTGGCAACTGACCTCCCACCCCTCTAAATTTATCCTACTCATCCCCCCATCATTTATCAAATTCTTAATTAATCCTTATATGAGCTGTCCAGTTTCTTCCACCAGAATGTAAGCCCCCCCAAAGGCAAGGATCTTTCCTCTTTTATTCACTGGTAATATCACTTGTGGCTAGTAGTGATACAGACAACAAATAAGACTGACTAAACTAGTATATCATAAGGACGTCCGTTCTTTACCTTTATCTTCCCAAAATTACTGCATACACTGAACACTGATTCTAGAACTGCATCTATACCTGTGGTCAATACAGAGATATTTTAACTGAAATCTTGTAGGGAAGTAAAGTTAACTCTATGTAGTAAAGCATTCCTCCCGTACCTCAAGAGCCACATAGGCTAGTTAGTGATGCAGATCATACAAGAGAAATAGTTCTCTAAATAGTATGATGACCAAAAACAGCTACAGTAGCTTTTGAATATTCACACTGTATGGTTGGAGTCAAAATGCTGCGTGGTTCAAAAATCACATCACAGCATGAGGAGGCATTGGGTTGTGCAAGTCAAACAATACCCAATTTATCATTAACTTCACTTTTTAATAGCTTGGTCAGATTCCCACCTGCCCTAATACCTCAGCTCCAGAAAAACATCACTTGGAGAGAGAAAACTGTAGTTACCCAAAGCTGAGTTTGGCCGAGATAGCAGAGTTTACATTCCATTGTTGGCTAGATCTGAACCTTGTGGAATGCGACAGAACTGGATTCAGGCCACAAGAGGATGGCAGTGCTCTGACCAAACACCACCCAGGGACTTCCAGGTGAATGCACACTTGATGTGATGTGTGTAATGTATGCAGGAGACAGTGGCTTCAAAGACCCCCTCCCACTTCACCGTCGCCCCACTGAGGACACCTGAGTGAAGGAATTCACTCCCACACAGAACTGCCAGGCTGGACATCTGCCACCCATCCCACATGACTCACGGGCCTCCTTGCACACTCACTGTCCTCTCCACAGGGGGCAGTGAACAGGGACCTGGCATGATGTTATTAACAACAGGTCCTCCTCCACATTCGCATGCACCTGGGGAATGGGAAGCACATGGCAAAACTCCACTGAGGCTGTGGATTTGGAGTCTCACACTGAGGTCTGGGTGATCGGAGGCCTGGAGGTCTGAAGGCCTCTAAACAGGACACCTGTGAGTAAACAGACTGCCTAACAGAGCAGCCAACAGGTGCAGAGGCCAAGGAGGTCCCGACACTCGCAGTGCCAGTGCCGAATGCAAGTACCTGAGGTCCCCATCCCAGGGCTTCTGACCCCGCGATCTGAGGCAGAGCCAGGGAATCTGCATTTGAGGGCACTTCAGGAGATGTGTGTGCAGGCCACACTTTGAACACCATCCTGAAATCTCAACCTAGCTACTTTAAAGATCTGAATTCATCTTCATGACTAATAACCACTTACAGAAAGACCATCTACTGTTTACGCTCTGGATTCTTCTATCTTCCAAGGAAAGATTTAGGCAGAATTACTTCCTCTTAACTGAAATTCTGTGGAATAATGACTTAAAAAGAGAAAAACGATTCTGGAGCTGCATGGTCTGTGAGGGGCAGGGATGGTTCATCTTCAGGGTGTTTTATTTAAACTGATGGGGCATCAGAGCTGCCAGCCCCCACTCAGTGTGAGGACACAGTTATCAGCAGCACTCAGGTTGGAGGTGTGGAAAGCCAGAGGTGCCACAGGCCCGAGCCACCTCGCCTCTCCTTGGAATGAGAAGCGGTTCACACAAGGTGACGGGGTGGCCCCTCGAGCTGCTTGGCACAGGCCACTCCACTTAACGAGTGCTCAGAATCACTCTCAGCATGGAGAAATCCACCCTGACCCTGGACGCTTGCCCCCTGGCATCTGCTCACTTACATTTTTACTCAATTACTATTTCTAAGAACGGAGACAAAAAAAAAAAAAAAAAAAAAAAAAAAAAA